CCCCAAAACCCCAAAACCCCAAAACCCCGCAATGAATTATAGTAGAGCAGATTTCCATATTAGATTTTCATATTCAAAAGTATAAAATGAATGGACCACCAACATAATTTTTATCATCATCTCTAAACTTATGATTAATGGGTGGGGGTGAGGGGTCTCTAATTACATAGTTTTCTATGTAATTTTTCGTCATTTAGCTAGCTTTCCCAAAGTTAGTTTAGAAATCCTTATCAGCTATCCAGTTTTATTTGCTAGCCAAATATTACTTTCTAAGTTCCTCGTCTTAAGATATATAAGGCGAAGCGTTTCTAATCACAGGTACATCAAAGTTAGATTATGGCAAAGCGCTGTAAAATTTATGATTGGAAAAATGTTTCTTTGTTTTGATAAATGCAGCTCTTTGTTATTCTATATCTGTGAGTAATTCCTACTTCTTAAATTTCTCATATTAATCCATAATGATATCATCTTGTTTCTTTGGTGTTTTCCCTGTTTTTTAGTTTTGATTAACAGTTTTGAAGCCAGGGATCTAGAATAAACAATATACTAAGGAATAATTTTACGAAAAAATTTCCTTTAGGAAGAAAGTCTTTGTTTAGGCTTGGATGAAGAGTCTCTCTTACATCTCTTTATGTTAGTCCTTTGCTATTAGTTTTATCCTTCACCAGCTGCTTAATGAACATATCTATATTTTTAAATGCATGATATAAAATTTACTATTCATTGCATAACAATCCAAATTTTTTCCATAAGGTACATAATCCATAATACTTGTATTACTCCTTGAATCATTCATTCCCCTATAAGTCATGGATCCTGTTTAAACTGAACCTCATTATTATCTATATCTATCAATCTAGTCCTTCATATTGCTCTATCTATCAGTGAAGGCACCATTATTTATCTCAAACCCAATATTTTCATTGAACTACTGTGATTTTAAATGGCCTCTTGAATTTAGCCTAGATTATGAAAAAGTACTTGTAGTTGAAGGTCTTATTTGCTCTTTGTTTATCGCATTATTATCTACTACAACAAATTTTCTTCTTCGACTATAATTATTCCCAGAGAATTTGAACTCCTTTGTAAAAGCAACTTATTCCTCTTCTCTAGGCTAACTTGGTATTTAGGAATTAGCTTGATTATTTGGTTTTTCATCAAACAACTTAAACATTAATCTTCTTTACTTTAAGTCAGCTTCCTCTAAGGTAATATGGATCCTATCAACCTTTTAGATTTCTAGAATCTTATACTTGATGAAATTTTATAGCACTTTGACAGTTTCTGAATACCTTTTCATGATATGAAATTAAACTGCTAAGGTGTTTCTATGTTCTATAATTTGAGGGCCTCTATCACTTTCAGCTAAAATAGTATAGTTTTTGCGAACTTACTCAATATCTCTTATATTGATTGGATGAGGATCCCATTGATTTTTATTTATTACCATAAATGTAGCAGGAACTCCTTATAGAGCCCAATGAGACATATAGTGCTTATCAATGCAACACTTTGACTCAGTTAATTTCGATTTATATAAATGATCTCCCATCCTTGCATCTCCCAGGGGACCATTAGTTTTGTATTTCTTTATTTTCTAAACGTAATAAGAGGAACTACTGCCATATGTTTCAAGAGTTTAGACATGATGTAGGCCAGTATTTCCAAGAGGTATCCATATTTTTTATTCTGTATTAAAACCATAGTAATCTCCAGTACAGCTATCAAGATAAGCATCAGTTCTTCTAAGCCTTGAAACTTCCTCGGGAGTCATTTAATTCATAAGTTCTAGTCTACCTCCTTTAGGATTAACGATATTTATATCGGGGAAGGTTGTTGCGCAATAATAGATTAATAAGGCTAGTCCTAATCCCCCACAGAACAGTATTTTATTGGTTCTTTTGCACATTTTGAATAATAATGCGAACTATTTTGATGAATAAATTGAAATGTGTGAGTTACCTTTCTGCAGTGCTTAGTCCAAGGTAAGTTGCTGTTGCTATCACCATCAATAAACACGAAATCCAAATGATCAAACAACTATATTAAAAAGTGATTTTAAATATTTTTATATGCATACTTTCATGGCCTCCTTGTTTGAGAATTCTGTGTTGATTTCATACAAGAAGCTATCAATAGTATTCTTATCTCTCAAAATATACTCTTGCTATCCAATCAGAGTTTATTTATTTTATTCAAAGGCCTAAATGATGATATGATGACTTTAGTATTACATTCTTAATGACCTCTACAAATTCTTGGTATTAGAGACGACCCTCATTAGTGTCTGAAAAAGCATTAACAATTAGTATTTTCATCTTATATTTTAATTTATCGTTTATTGTTAAATTTAGAATATTGATTGATTTCACTGTAATGGATTACACTATATTATCATAGAATAAGCTATGTAGCAATACGACAAGCTAATCCTCCCTGAAAATAGACTAAAATGCTTATTCTCCTGATGGTCATAACAACTATATAAAGGCAGATGTTAAACTCTAAGATTTTGATGATAGCCCTACATTTCATCATGAAGAGCAATAGGTTGGTGATAAAATGTGATTCCCAAAAAAATTGAATTTGATCTATCAAAGTGAGCCCTCATCCAGTAAAAACGAGTATACCTAGAAGTTGAATGAGTACAGAGAGGCTAAGAAGCTTTATTTAATTAAGCAGTAAGAATTCATAAAGTGCTTCGAGAGATTTAAACATAGAGATCACACCACAATTAATGAATTAGGTTCTGAGCATATTTACAAAAGAGATTAATAACCTAAATTAATGAACAGCCTTACTGCCATCCATACACGATTAAATAGCACTTCTAAATTAGACACTTTAGCTCCAATAAGGCACAATCAAACTACTACAACCATAGAAGAAAATAGCTTTGATCTGCCTCATAATATGAGTTAGATAAGAGCATAATCAAGGAATAGATAATCTAGGTAACCTTCACTTAAATATGAGAATGATTTAGTGATCTAAGGATAGTAGCAGCCTTCATAAGTTAACTTAACAATGTCTAAATCATTTCAAGAAATGGAATAATAGACAAATGAGGAAGCTTAAAAAATTTAGCTAATGAACAACATTAAAGTTTATGAAACTTTTTCAACTGTAAGCGCCAGGACCAATGGCTTAAATTTAAATACAATTGCCAAAATTGAGATAGAGGATATAAATTATCTCAACAAACTAAAGGTAATCTTTTATAATCATGATTATTTTTTAGGATAGAATATAGAAGCTCTAAGGTGTGTTGAAAAAATAAATTGAAAATTAGATAAAGCTAGCTTAGAAGCTACAAGTCTTAAATATAGAGAATAAAAGTCTGAAAGAGTAGTTATAAGCATAGCAATAGTAATGATTTAATATGGTTTGCAAAGTTCAAGTTTATAAGAATAAGGAAACTTAGACTTTCACTTAAATGACTTAGAGTCATAGAAGCAAAGAGAGATATATTAAAGAGGGTAAAAGTAATCTTCTTTAGAAAAAGCAGATGATTCAAAATATCAAAGCTAAAAATCAAAATCAACTCCCTATAGATGGTAAAAGCAGGAATAGATTTGAAAGAGGGAATGGGACAAATGATAACACTTCCTCAAATTTGAGAAAATCATAAAAAACATGCTTGACTATTAACTTTGACTTGATAAATGATAAATAGCCATCTCTAGTTACTAATACCAAGGGTGGATAAACAGGTCAAGTAGAAACTCCGAGGTCAAACCTTGACTATATTCCTGAAATTTTAGTACCTGACCCTTTCATGCAATTTTTATAAACAAAAAACTATCATACTGCTTAAGTAAGTAATAGGTCAAGAGAATTGAATAAAGGAAATAGGTATTTTAGTATCAGGTATGATGAATTAAGGAATAAGAACTGTTTATCCAGGAGTTCTTCTAAATAGTAGCAGTCGTAAAACATATCATCACTTTCCAATGCAAATTTTAATGATACTTCAATAATTCAGGAGAAATCATTTAACCGAATTAAAAGCCCAGTTGAGATGAAGAATCTGTCAATGTTGAGTGGTTCTTGCAGCAGGTTGAAAATATCTGGAAAGTAATCTCCAAGTATGATGAAATCTAGTGAAAACATATAGGTAATAAGTTAGTTCAATTATGATACAAAAAGAGCATCAGTTGATTTCAAGAAAAAACTACCAATAGCTTATCAGACCAAGGATCTAAAGCACGCAAGATAATTTAGCAACAAATCTTAAAAGTAAGGTGGAAAGTAAATGAGTTCTCCATTTGCAGTTAGACAAAAAAGCTAAGAAAAATCTGTTGGTCGCTTCAAAAACTTTACACTTTTAAAGAGCAATTCAAAAAAGCCATAAGTTTCAACTGCAGTATCAAATTTTAATGATAAAAAACCAATGCTTGGCAAGCAAAGCTTTTCTGAGAGAAAACCACCAATTAAATCCAAAATTCAGACAGTTTAAAGTTCTCTTAATAATTGCATGGCTCCTTTCTAACCTGTAAAAAAACAAGGCTTTATCTACAAGACAATAAAAGACATGAAGAAGTTTGACAAGGTGTATGAGCCATTGAAAATGCAAACGCAGCGGCATTTGAATTTGAAGGACTTAATAAAGGATGAAATTTTGCGTAAATCTGTAGATTAGGTGTCGCTTATCAAGAAATATAAATGAACTTATCTAAATAATTAATTATAATACAGATTTATAGAAAGTCAATGACTTAACTTGTTAATAAATTATAAAATGATAAATTATTAAAAATTTAAAGTGCTCTAAAGCAAACTATAATCTTTTCTGAAAATGGAGAAAAATTAGCTCAGCACATCTGCCTTATAAATATCCTAAAATGAATTATCAGTAGGAAGGAAGAAGCATATTGAATATGAGTTTGGACCAAGAATCAAAATTCATTCTGATCAAGTGTTTTATGAAAATGATCATGTATTTGCCTTTGTAAATATTAGGCCAGTTTTACCTGGCCATGTACTAGTAAGCCCGAAGAAAGTAATAAAGCATTTTAAAGATTTGAGTAAAGAAGAATTGTTGTATATATTCAAAACAGGCCAGATGATAGGCAAAGCATTCAGCAAGCACTTCAAGAGTGAAAATTTTCATTATACTGTTTAGGATGGCTTACATGCAGGATAAACAGTTCCTCATGTTCATCTTCATGTACTTCCTGCAAAAGATCATGCAATAGGTGAAGCAGAGGTTTATGGCAACGCAAGATCAATTGATGAAATGAAAGAAGAGGCAATGATATTTAGAAAGCTTTTGGAAGAATTTTAGATTAAACTTTGAAAATCATATGATAGTCAAGCATGTATGAATTAATCGATTGTTGTAATGGTAAATGGAATTGAATACCAAATTAGCATTAGAATATCATATTAGTGATTAAGTTAATAATTGTGATAATAAACTCACTCTAAATTAAAAGTCCTTTCACTAATTATTATAAAGATTATTAAAATGAGTAATTTAATTGGGACTCTCATTGACTCCTAGTATTAAATTAAGAAGAAAATTGGGTAAGGCTCCTATGGCTAAATTTATCTCGGTAATCTCAATTATTGTAATTTAAACTCACAGGTCAACATATTAAAACTAGAGTTGAAGTTGCCATTAAAGTAGTAAGTATTTAATTTTATGAAAATATTTTTAGGAATTTACGTATTGCAAATATCCACAGGTTTTATACGAGGCAAAAATTTTGAAATATTTCAGAAATAGAAGTAAAATTCATAAAATATAATGCTTAAAGTTGGTTTTCCAATGGTCCATGCTTGTGGTGTAGAAGGTGATTATAATTACATCGTTATTGATTTGCTTGGACCAAGTCTAGAAGATTTTTTTAACATGTGTGGATGACAGCTGAGTTTAAAGACGACACTAATTCTCATCACTCAAATAATTTAAAGGTAATTTGCCGACAACCTATTTAGTAATAAATTAATCTAACTTATAAATAAAATTCCTAATAGAAAATATTTATAGACTTGAGACATATCATAAAAGGTCATTCATGCACAGAGATGTGAAACCAGATAACTTTTTGATGGGGCTAAAAAATAGAGGTGGACCTGACGTTGTACATATAATTGACTTTGGCTTGTCTAAAAGATATATCGATCCCAGGACTAAAAAGCATATCGAATACAGAAAGGATAAATATCTGACTGGCACAGCCAGATATGCCTCCATACATTCACATTTGGGCGAAGAAATGTCAAGGAGAGATGATATGGAATCCCTTGCATACATGATGATCTATCTTTACAAAGGAGAACTTCCTTGGCAAAACTTAAAGGATTATTTTTCAGATTAATGCTAGAAAATTAAGGAAGTGAAGCTTGCAACAAGTACCAAATCACTTTGCAAGAACTGTCCCAGAGATATGATAAAGTTTGTAGATTTATGCAAAAACTTAACTTTTGATCAAGAACCCCCTTACTAGCAATTGATTAATATATTAAATGGACTTGCTGACAAAGAGGGTATAGATTTAACTGATAAACAGTTTGACTGGGATGAAAATAAATTCCAGACATTCAATGAAGATCCAGAAAGAATAAGAATTATGAATATTCAAAATTCTAATGTCATCTAAGCTTATAGCGCAGTAAGAAGAGATTAGATAATAAGCAGGAGATAAAGTATGTACAATGTTAATAGTGGAATCTTGAATGAAGAGTAATTTAAATCAGAGAAAGGATTCAGAAGTGATATATCATTGATTGCAGATGAAATAGGCTCTGGAAGACCAAGATCTAAATCTCAGAAATGAAAGAATAAAAGAAATAAATCTAGAAAGAATTAGAAACTAAGGCTAGTATTAATTGGTGATTTAGAGAATCCTCTATCAATACAGAGATGTAAGTTATATTGTTAATGAGCATATTAGTGAGAGAAGAGCACTCAGGATTTTCAGTTTAGCCAGAGAAGATCAAGCGTGTAGGTTCTGAAGAGAATGTTAGAAAATATAAACCAAAAGCTTGCAGTAAGAGTCCTCGTAAAATTAAAAAGAAGAATCCGAAATTTGTTTCAGTTCAAGATTCAGATATAAACCTTCAAATTAAAAGTATTACTAATCAACTAACTTACTAATTATTAGATACAACTCAATATTTATTGGGATGTGATTCTAAGGGATCCAAGTCAAAAAAAAGAAAAGATCCTCAAATATTGTAAACTAGTCTGAAAATAGAAAATCTCAAGAATCTTAACTTTTAAGATTACGAAAATAATTATAAGATTGTAGTAAGTCAATTAAATGATGAAGAAGAGCAGGCTTCGTCATAAAAAGAGGAAATATATGAGTGTGAAATTAACTTTGCAGACGATAATATTTCTGACTATTAAATTCAGTTAGTACATTAGACAAGTGCAAAAGATAGTAGTGTTTTAATTATGAATAAAGGCCAAGCCACTCTGTAGATATCTTGATAACGATATGAATGTCTGAGAGATCAGCTTTTATACTAAGTAATTTTATAAGTTTTAATTTCATTAATAAATGGAAAAAATATATATTGAGATTCATGGGGTTTTGGGGTTTTGGGGTTTTGGGG